CCCCAAAACCCCAAAACCCCAAAACCCCTTAGTATTTAAGATAAATTGACTTTATAGTAATATCAAGATGGTAAAGGTTTCAAGAGTTATTCAATGACTACTGCTTTTATTCATTACGAGTGCTCGCTCAGTAATCTTTCAGAGTAAATTTGCAATTCATTATTACAGACAGGACAGTATCCTTAGAACAAAGAAGAAAACTTCCAACAACTATAGACCATACAGCAAGTACTCTTTCTGGAAGTGGTAACTTAGTCCAAATTAATATCTCTTCTAGGGGTTGGAGTAGGCAAAAGATACACACTATTGACAGCAACTGTGCAAGCCAAAGATTCTTCTGGTGTCAATATTACAACAGGTGGTGATATTCTCGCTTTAAGTGTAAGTTTTATTTACCTAAATTGCTTTTGGAAATTTTAGTCTTATTTATTCCATTCAGATATCCAATGAATGCACTATCACAAGCTACCTTGAATGAACTCCTAAAGCGAATGCTACAGACATGGAGATTAATCCTAATTACATCATGATGACAGATAACTCCGATGGTACATATAGTGCAAGTTATTCATCTTCTGCCAAAGGAACAGCGACTTTAATTGCTTACCTTTTAGTTCCTAATAAAGTATTTGTGATGTTTTACTCTGATAAAATCTTCACTCCTCCAGCTGTGTACAATGAGACTTGGTCGCAGATAGATAAAAATTATACCACAAACGATTTATATCCATCAGTAGCTGACAACACCTCTGCAACTATCCATTTTATGATAAAAGTGCCATACACTGAAGAGTATACGTTCACTTTGGAGTCAAATGATGGCTCTGATCTGTATATGAATAGCACAATAAAGATTTCTCAACTAGGAGTGACTTGCAACTGCACTAGCTCCTTTGACACTAACCTCACTCAAGGAGATTATGTGGATTTCAAGTACTTTTTATTGCCTAATCTCTAGGATTGACTACAACGAAATAGAAGACGAGGCACACCTCAAGTTATTTTGGAACTCATCTTCTTCGATATCTTCTAGCGTGCTAGTCCCCTCCAGCGTGCTCTATTATAAAGAATATATAGGCATAGGGGCCTATCAGACTGAAATAAAATGTCCAGAGTACTACTCTGGAAACAACGAAGACCATCCTGGAGAATGCTACGAGATCTGTGGTGATGGCATCCATATCGGAAGAGTATTAAATTGTCATAATTTTTAGGAAGTATGAGACGATTACAATGAAAAATCAGGCGATGGTTGCTCAAAAGACTGCAAAAGTATTGAAGATAATTACATCTGCAAAGCTTACATTGAGGAGAAACTTCCAGATAAGTGCGTTAGGTGTAAATCAGGGTACATCCGAAATTCAGATGAGACTAATTGTATCCGCACCAGTACTCAAAAGAAGAACCAATCTCTTAGCTATATCACTTATGCACTTGTTGGTGTAGACTTGGTCTTATGCACAATTATCTATTTCTTTACTAAGCAATCACTAAATGGCTTCTTGATGACTGTTTCATACCTCCAAGCTATCATTCTTCTGCCAATGTTGGACGCAGAGTTGCCTGAAAACCTCCTTGGATTTATAACAGAAATTTCAGAAATAGTTCTACATCTTGAATTCATCTCTAAAGATGGAATCTCTAATGGATACCCAGGATGTGACCAATTCGATAGGAAACTAGATATCTGTCTTTTAACTCAAATAATGGGCTTCAAAAATCGATCTGGACTGAGCACACTCATAGACCATGCTGCTATATTTACATTTCTCCTACTCTTTCATGGCTTTATACTTTGTCTATACCATAGAGAAAGAAAATTACAGAAGTCGGTAAGTGTTTTAGTTAAATATTTAAGGATCCTGAAAGGAAAGAAGGAAAGTTAATTGAGAAAATATTCAAATTCTGAACATTCAAGATGTATATCCCCTTCTTCTACCTCTTCTATACAGCAATGATGGTCTCCAGCACCACAGATTTCACAAGTTGTATGTACAATGATGGGGTTGAACCCGGTTCATGATTTTTCTCATTCTTAATCTGGGTTGCTTGCTCTTCAGTGTTAGGTATCATTGGGTGGCAGTACTTCAAATCACAGTACAACTATACTTTCTCCAAAATGAGGTACTTCACAAATCTATTCAGTGGTCTCCGGATGAGTTGGAAATCTAGGGTGTACTCATTCCTAATATTTCTCAGAATTTACACAATTGTGATGGTTGGGACTATTGCAAGTGTAGTGAGTACGGAGAAATACATTGTGATTAGAGATTTCAACTTCGTCATCTTCTTAGCCATCCTCCAAATGGCTCTCATGCTATGAATGATCTTTTTCTTCCCATTCAGGATTTACATTTATAACATTAAGCTTATTATAAATGAGTTGGCGTTTTCATGACTCATGGTATTTGCTGTTCGAAGCAAGGCGATAGGAGGACTCAGCGAATCGATCGGTAACAAATTAAGATACATGATATTCTTTGGCCCTGCTGTCGCATGCACTCTGTCTCTCAGTAAGCCTATTTAGTAATCTCATAGCTGCATTAGGCATAATTATCTTCAAAGCTATTGCAAAGAAATTTACAGGATCAAGAGTACAAGCAAAAAGTCAATTTGGACGGTAAATTTCTGTCTGAACCCTCTAGAACAGTTGATAAAGTACAGAATATCTCAAATCAATACAACGGGTCTCACACAACAAAGCAGGAAATGCATAAGAGTAAGCTTGGTGTCAAATTTTCACCTTTAAAAGTCCTTTTTAGTCTCAAATTCCTTATATCTTAAGCTCTATTAGCTGTTAAGAGAATTATTAACCAAATACCATTCAATCAATAAATTCTAAATCGCATAGAAAAAGATGAATCTGAGCCACCACAGAAGCAAGATAAAAAATCACAGAAGAAGTCTAAGAAGAAGACTAAGAGGAAGGAAAAGAAGAAAGAAGAACAGTACAGAATGCCTAGGTTTAACGTTGCCGAAAGAGAAGATATAGTACAGTTTTAAAATTCAATGTGCACAACTTGGAAGGGGTTTTGGGGTTTTGGGGTTTTGGGGTTTTGGGG